TTTCTCACAGATGAATCTTGACTTTTTTCTAATAAAGGTGCATCTGAAAGGAGATTGTCCAATGTTCACATTTCTACTTTTGGTTTTTTTCTTTGTGCTATGCAGTGCTTTCTTTTTCTTTCCGTATCACAATGACATGATCTGGCAGAAAATTACAGTAAAAACAGCAACAACAACAAAAAATAGTTTACACCAGAACACCCCTCCAGAGTACACAACATTATATTGACAACATGATTTTGTTTTATCTGTACACAATGACACAATAACTTTTAATTCTGATGGCACTGACACTTTTTTATTGACAAAGAAATGTAGTTTTGAGAGATGAACTAAGGATTTTGAGCAAGAGACTGGCTTTTGCAGGTAATCCATTATGTTTCGCTATTTGTATGCATTGTTTTGAGAAATGCACTTTTGCAAATTGTAACCATTATCAATCACACACATAATTTTCATACATCAGAATAAAACAAAACATACTGTAATATAAACACACAAACAAAAACTATGAAAATTATATTCAGCCTACAGTGCTTGACTGGTCATCTGAGATGTGTGAAATTCCTCCTTTGTTAGTCAAGTTCTAGTTTCACCTGACTGTCAATTGCTGTAATAAATGCATCAAATATTCCATGGACATATGGTATTCATGGTATTATGTTCTTGACTAATTTTGACAATTGAACAGACTATTGTGCATGTGATGACTTATACCAGGGGTCACCAACCCTGTTCCTGGAGAGCTTTCTCCTGCATAATTCAGTCCCAACCCTGATCAAACACACCTGAACCAATTAATAGTACCTAAAGCAGCACTTGATAATTACAAACAGGTGTGTTTGGTCAGGGTTGCAACTAAAATCTGCAGGAAGGTAGCTCTCCAGGAACAGGGTTGGTGACCCCTGACTTATACAATAAAATGACGCTCACATATTTTGGAGAGAACAACCATTGAACTGAGAATCAACAATCACAATGGAAATTGTGCTAAATGTCAGCTACCTGTACTTAATCATTTGCAAAGATGTACTTAGACATTTGCAATTTTATTAAATGAATGAGAAAATCCATTCTGGTGTGAACAATTGCCAAGTGGTTTGGAGGTTTGTCCATGTTGTTTTGAGAATGTAATTCCTGTTTCAAGAAATGAGCCAAACCAATAGAGAAAAACTGTAAAATAACATAAAGCAATGAATTTTCTAAACAAACAAAACAAAATGGCTTCTCTGAAATCAAACAGACTTACGAATAGCAGCGATGAACTTATCAAAAAAGCTGAAAGGGAAAAGGGGCTCAGGAAGTTCACGTAGGAAAAGCTTCAAAGCTCCAGTGATCACATGGATCTCCTCCCACTGGCCATCCTCCAGATCCAGATCCTCCTCTACACAAAGAAAGAAATATACAGTATTTTATTGTCAATAAAACAGTCGATCCCTTTCAAGATTTCCCTTAATACTGCAGAGCATCCACATTTGAAATTCTCCTCTTTCCAAACATATCCTGTAGTTTTACTGACTCACTCGACTCTCTTCCCATTGACTGTCCAGTTGTTGCCAAGTATGTACTGTAAGCCCCTTAAGCTTGAAGTTTGATTAAAAAGCAAAAATCCTTCATTTTCCTTCAGCTTAGTCCCTTTATTTATCAGGGGTTGCCACAGCGGAATGAACCGCCAACTTATCAAGCATATGTTTTACGCAGCAGATGCCTTTTCAGCTGCAACCCAGTACTGGGAAACACCCATACACTCTAGCATTCACACACATACACAACGGCCAATTTAGTTTATTTATTTCACCTATAGTGCATGTCTTTGGACTTGTTGGGGAAACTGGTGCACCTGGAGGAAACCCACACCAACACGGGGAAAACATGTAAACTTCACACAGAAATGCCACTTGACCCAGCCAGGACTCGAACCAGTGGCTTCCTTGCTGTGAGGCAACAGTGCTAACTACTGTAACAGTAACTGTTTATTCCCAGAAAATTCTTTACATTCACTATAATAACTCTGTCCTCACTGTAACTGTAGTGATCTTTTTAATCTAGATTGTGTTTACCATGGTCAGCTTTATATCGCAGCTTCTGAATGACAGCAAGGTTTCCGCTCACTCTGTAGATTCCATCTATTTTGAGACCTGAAGCAAGCAAACACATTCAGATGACCTTTATCTTAAACTGATGAACATGAATTCACACAGGAAAATGAATGCTTACCTCTTTTCTCAACTGATCGGATGCATTTTTCCACAAACTTGGGCACAGTTGTGTTTTCTCGATGACAGAGGGTGTCTAAGTGACAGCCAAACACATTCTCTGGAAAGACAGATTAATGGTTGTGAGTCTACATGCAGAAAAATGTACAGCCTTAAGTAACAACACTAAAGAGACGTGGCTTTTTGATGACTTGCAAGTTGTAGATTGAGTCACTGGTCTTGCTGTTGATTTTAACACTGATGTGCAACTGATTCATTATATAATAATACAGGGTTCCCACTCTTAGTCAATTGTCAAATTTCAGAGTTTACATTAATTATAATGTTCAATTGTGATGGTGTACAATGAGAAAAAAAACAAGCAGCTGCTGTGCATTCATTAAAATGTTTCATTAATTTAACAGCAATCATGCAAGCAAGTTTAAGTCATCTACCTCAGATTTTGAACAGAAATTACAAGAATAAATAGCACCCAGCCTAAAACCAAGTGGTCATTTTGTAGCCAAATCTCTTGAAGTTGACATTTTATTGACATGTTTGCCTGAGTTATAGGTAGAGCCAGACAAAATCTGCAGACATTTTTTGATAGTTTTGCACAGAATTTTGGTAAAAATCTGCGGATTTCTGCAGAATGACTTTGAAAGTATCATAACTAAAACCTTAATATATTAAATAAAAAGTAATACCTTTTTAACTTGTATTTAATGTTTACAATGCAAATCCAATTAGACCCCCTTTTATTTGGTAATCAAAGCAAGTCTCACATATAACACATCCACTAAAAGACAGAAAATATTATTTACAAACTATATTGTAAATAAATCATATAAATATTTTCATATTAGTCAATAATATTACTGAAATTAATTTAAGAACTGAATAAATATGAATTTACACACATTTACACAAGTAAATAAACAGAATCAATGAAGAGCTAAAAATCTCCGGATATCTGCAGAATTCTGACACGCAGATTCCGTGTGGGCCTAGTTATAGGTACTGGTTTGTAACTGCATTTGACTGAGGGTGAAAAGCATAAAATGGTGCTTAAAAATTACCTAACAATAACACCAGATGAATCAATGAGATAAAAAACATGATAAGAAAAAAAAAAGACACTTTATTTACTGCTAAATAAAATTAAAAGCGACAAAAGTACCCAATATTCCATGACTCAAAAAAGGAAATTCCCTGATTTCAATGTCTGAACGACACCCTTTAAAATTCAATGATATTCCAGAGATAGTCGCTCCATGTTTCTACATCCCTTTAATCAGGTTTTAAAAACACATTGTACTCTAAATATTTTGAACATCTGAATCACTTTAGACACAAGCATCGAAAATCAGAGCATGTATCTCAACAATGGTGACATGCATAATGGAGACGAGACGGCAATTAGTAATAATGACTTATGTATTAATGAGTTAAATGTTCACTATGTCAGAATTTATTCGGTAAATGCATTTCCATCTAGTGTTATTCTGGCAAAAACTACCTCGAGAGATCCTTTTTTTGTATTTCAAGGGATTTTTCCCCAAAATGTAACATTTCCGTCACTAGTTTCTGATAAAATACTTAAAAATGTCAACATAGCTTATAAATAGTTATTTTGCACCACATGTATATTACATCAATCATTAGGAAATTAACTAATTAAATTGTCAGTAGATCATCTGTTAAGCATTTTACTCCCACTGACACTTTTTAGGAGGGTCCTTGAACTCTTTTATCATGTCTAGTAAATATGGTCCAACAAGAATGATCCAGTAACCTTTAATGTAGCCTTTCTCTTTGACGGACTGCAGGGTGGGCCGCCTCTGGAGAAACTTGCGCAGTTTGGTGCGAACACGGCCCTGGTCTGTGTCTATGCTACTTGTAGAACTCAGTCTCGCAGCTATAAGAAAAATATAACAAAAAAATAAATACTCACGTTTATTGTTAATAGTTAGTATACAGTATACTTTAGTTAATATAGCAAGAAAGAATATGTACAGTTATTGTTAATTGTTAGCATAAAGTATACTAAATAAAGCTAATATACCCAGAAAAAAGTACTTACAGCTATTGTTAATAGTATATAGTATAATATATATAGTTGTTAATAAACATTCTACACGTTTATGTGCACATGATTCCGTTACTCACCTTCAGGCTTCTTTTCTTTATCTGCAGGCAATGGAGATTTTTCCGGGACGTCTTCTGCTTCATCCTCTGAGTTATGGCCGTGTTCATGCTGTCAAAGGTGATTACAAGATATTTTTGAATGTTGTTTTATGATGGCATGGGCATCTTTATTTTGGCAACTTTATATTTGTGCTATACTGTATGTGTCCAGCAGGGGCCACTCACCAGCAGTTTGATGGTGTCCAAAATGATCTTTTGCCAGTCTTGAATGATGCTGTCTGTGTCGTACTGTATCAGATACTCAGAGCCATGACGTGTCTTGAGCTGCTCAGTGACATGGACAGCATTACAGGCTTTTATATTACAATCATACGCTTACGAGAAAGTCTCTTGATGGCTAAACTCATGACAATAGTTAATGCAGCAACCTTTGTTATGGATTATTACTAAAACTGCAACATGTTGCTAATAAAGAAAAAGTTCAGCAGCTTTTGTGTTTTACTGTCAACAAAAAGACCACTAATCACAATTAAAAAAACAATTCATTCCTGGAAAAGCAATTCTACTATTTGTACAGGATGTAGGTTCTTTGTTTATTTATATATACAGAAAAGGCACAGTTCTCACCTCGAGAACGTTCTTCTTGCTTGACTTTTCTTTAGACGCCCATGATAAAGTCGCCCCTTTTAGTTCTACAGTGTACTCAGGGACAATCTGATTGGTCTTGCTCTGCAAAAGTCAACCAATGGCAGACAGATTATTTTCAGTCTGTTCTCCGCAGCATACTTTACTCCACAAAAACAAGGCCTTTTAAAACAGCTTTAGGTTCAGGACAGGAGCTGGCATAAGTGACTTTTCTACATCTGTTTTGTACAGGTAACCTGAACATTTCTGAGATCAGTTCATGGTATGATATCAAACATAAAATGCTAAAAATAAAATCACTTGTTTACATGCTACAAGTGAATTTAGGCATCAAAACATACTAACAGTGCTAATACAGTACATGAAAATTTTAAATTGAACTTAATTGTAAGATCTTATAAAGATTTATGAAGTGATGTTTTCTAGTATTGTTTATTCAGTTGGTAATGTATTTATTCTAAAACAAGTCCACATACAACACAACAGAAACAAGGTAAGAGTTTCATGACTTGTGGTTATGCCAATCAGGCCATGGAGATACTACATGTCTTGACAAAGTTGTAATAAAAACTTATTATTGAGAATTGTTTTGACATGTCATGTTTGCAAAGTTGGTTCTGATCACCTGCGTTTTTAAAATTTGTCTCTGACTCAAAATGATATGATATAACCAACATGATTATGGTAGAATTAAATATAAACCAGTATTACAATAATAATATCAAGTAATATGATATTATGGGGTAACATTGGCCAATAATTGTTATATTAATGCTCAATCAAACACTTAATATCACTAGTTAAACAGATTAGATAAACTTACAGACATCCCAGCAGGTGCAAATTTGGGGTCTTTGTGGAAAGTGAGTACACCGTCATGAAGAACAGTCCACGACTGAGCCCAGTTTTTCCTAAAATTACAGAATTCAGAGTTGAGTTACAAAATAATTAAATAAATAATTCTTTATAATCAAATTCTGTTTAATAATAAAAGAGTATCTCAATGCAAACTCTTAGCAGCTAAAGGTGCAAACCATACTGTAGGTAATGAAGACGTTTTCCAATCATATGTATTTGTGAACTGCGAATAACAACAATTAAATCATTAAAATATTGATTTTTTTTATTTTCTTGCATTTCAAGAACTGCAAGAATGCAAATGTGTTGTCAAATTATTAAAATATTTAATTTCTCATGATGTACTTGAAAGTAACATTAGAATCAAAAGAATAGCGGTTGACAAGAATGCTTGGGAATCCCTTTGATAAACCAGAATGACTGCACAGATGACTGGTTTGCACACTTTTTCCTATTCACGCTTAGTTAAAGAATGACTGTGCTGTTAAACCACAGATAAATGCTGACAATTTAAGGCCCCACCTCAGCCTTTTTCCATTCTCAGCCACTTTGGTCTTGTTGAGAATCCCTGCCTTCTCCAGTGATGACTGATGAATGCAAAAGAAAGGGTTTTTTTTTTGTTAGAAAGGTCAGATGTATTTAACACACAAACACACACACATGCACACAAACCAACTACAATAAAAAAAATATATAGTGTTTTTATAAAAAAATAAGTTTAAAGTCAGTTATTTCTATATTTTTCTGTAGCATGTTAGTTTGAAATATCAATTTACATTTCCAAACAATATTTTTGTCATTAATTGTAATTCTACATTGAGATTATTGTCTGCACGAGAAGTCTGACAACAACCAGTGCTCCACACAGAGATCTGATCTGATCATCATCCAGTCTATCTAGAAAGACATGAAGAAACAGAACTAACTAAGAGAAACTAAATCCATAAGAACTTTAGCAACATCTCTAAAATGTAAAAAAAAAGACAAAAAAAAATGTTTGGAAATTCATGCATTGTTATTTCAGCGTAGTTCCTTTATTTATCAGGGGGGCCACAGCGGAATGAACCGCCAATTATCCAGCATATGTTTTACACAGCAGATTCCATTCCAGCTATAACCCGACACTGTGAAACACCCATACACTCTTGCATTTACACACATACACTACGGCCAATTTAGCTTATTATAAAGCACATGTCTTTCCAAGAGATGGGTTGCGGCTGGAAGGGCATCCGCTGCGTAAAAACTTGCTGGATAAGTTGGCGGTTCATTCTGCTGTGGTGACCCCGAATTAATAAAGGGACTAAGCCGACAAGAAAATGAATAAATGAATAAAGCGCATGTCTTTGAACTGTGGGGGACACCGGAGCACCCGGAGGACATGCAAACTCCTCACAAAAATGCCAACTGACCCAGCTGGGACTCAAACCAGCGACCTTCTTGCTGTAAGGCGTTCATGCTACCCACTGCACCACCGTGACACCATGTTTGGAAATTGTAATTGATATTTCAAACTGACATGCTACTGAAAAATATAGAAATAACAGACTTTAAACCTTTTTTATGGTAAGAACACTAGACTTTTGCACAAAAGTGTATATGCTTACTGTATAATATAGTTACTAATATGATTTGTTAGTTTGGATTATGCAAGTTGTTAAAAAGTCTGTTAGTAGGATATTAAAGCAGGAACGGTGGAACGGCGAGCCACAAAACAACATTATCTACAGCTACTGCTGGTGAAAGACAAACATTTCCAAGCAAAACTACTTTCAGATAGTGATGACAAAGCAATGATGTTAGTTTTTGTCTAATGAATGACATGTTAGTTTTGAACACCCAATGCAAGCAACTATAAAACCAATAAACCAGCTGAGAACGCACATGATGAGAATGTGAATCGGTGCTGTAACTTGACAGGTTCCTCCGCCGTCTGAACTTTTTGTCCTTAAGAAAGGAAACAAAACCTTGGGTTCGCACCTTATAAAAATCTGACAAAGGGATAGTTCACCCAACAGTGGCAATTTACTCACTTCAGGTTGTTCCAAACCACTATGAGTTTCTTTTTTCTGTCGAACGCAAATGAAGATATTTCGAAAAATGCTGGAGATTGCCATTAACATCCATTAATCTCTCATAAATTAGAGAAAAAATATAATATGGACTTTGATCTTTGGTTCAACAAAAGAAAGAATCTCAGACAGGTTTGGAACAAGTGGAGAGAGAGTAAATGATGACAGACTTCTTATTTTTTGGTAAACTACCCCTTTAAAAGCATGTTTATATATATATATATATATATATATATATATATATATATATATATATATATATATATATATATATATATATAAGTATAATCCTAAAAACTATAATCAGTTTAAAGGGATAGTTCAAGCAAAAAACAAGTATTTACTTGACATTTACTCTGCCTTAAGCGGTTCACAATCTTTAGGAGTTTTGTTTTTCTGTTGAACATGAAAGGAGATATTTTGAAGAATATTGGAAACTGGTAGCCATGAACAAAAAATACAATGGCTAACAACATTCATCAAAATATCATGTGTTGCATGCAACAGAAGAAAGAAACCCAAAACAGGTTGGACAAGTGAAGGGAGAGTAAATGATGACAGAATTTTCATTTTTGGATTAGAGCAAAATGATGATTATGGGTTTGCTTGAAATCTTAGACTTTTTCATTTTTGTTGGAAAATAAATCATATTTTTACCAAATATATTAAATATAAAACAATAAATAAGCACCTTATAAAAACCTGACAAAGGGATAGTTCAACCAAAAGTGGCTATTTACTCACATCAGGTTGTTCCAAACCACTATGAGTTTCTTTTTTTTTGTTGGACGCAAAAGAAGGTATTTTGAAAAATGTTGAGGATTGTTAGCCATTTACATCCATAATAGAGAAAACACTATGGACTTCAAAAATATGTTCTCTCTGTTTTGGTTTAACAAAGAATCTCAGACAGGTTTGAAACAAGTGGAGAGAGAGTAAATGATGACAGACTTATTTTTTTGGTGAACTATCCTTTTAAAAGCACTTTTTAAATATAAATATGTTCCTAAATAACTATAATCAGTTTAAAGGAATAGTCCAACCAAAAATAAATATTTATTCAACATTTTCTCGCCCTCAAGTGGTTCCAAATCTTTAGGAGTTTTGAAATTCTGTTGAACATGAAAGGAAACATTTTGAAAAATATTGATAGCCTGGTAGCCATGGACAAAAAGATAATATGAAAGTCAATGGCTACCGGTTTTCATTCTTCAAAATATCTTCTTTTTTTATGCAACAAAAATAAAGAAACTCAAAACAGGTTGGACAAGTGTAAGGAGAGTAAATGATGACCAAATTTTAAATTAATGATTAAATTAGGAATGAGACTGTTACATGTGAATGAGTTCTGATGAACAAGATGGCATGAGTTACAAGCTCCAATGAGAGCTGGAAATAACTGAGGTCATGTTACGTACATAGTGCTGTGATTCTGGTGAATTCCCTGAGCTGGATGCATCACTGGCATTGTCAGAGGCGATCCGCCTGTGCGAGGGGGAAAATTTCTGCAGGAGGAAATGAATAGAAAGAAAAATAAATGAATATTAGCTGGTGGAAAAGGGTATGTGGTGTGTCAGATCAGGTGCCAGATGTTTCCTTCCTTCCTATTGTGGTCAAAGTGATGTCAGCAACAGAAAATAGCTGAGAAAGAAATGTCTCACATGAGAAAGAGAGAGAGAGAGAGACAGAAAGAGAGAGAGAGAGAGAGAGAGAGAGACGCAATTTGTGGGCATCAATCACGAAATCAAGAAACGTGTGGTTTGTGTGCAGCTGTTTCTAACGTCCTCTAGTCCTCTATGCCTTGCCTTGCCTTGCCTATGTCATAAAAAATGATGAATAGAGTCAAAAATGTGCCGTTCTTAAACTTTAAGTATAAAAACAGACACTCACCAGGTCCTCCTGAGATATGTTGAACTGAGTGTATCTCCAATTGTTCAAAACAGGTGGACCATCTTGTTCTACTCCATTTCCATTCATCGGCTGACCGGGTGGAACTGAAGCCTTTACAATAAAGTCAGTAAGGGTTCAGGGTGAGACATTCATTTGAAATATAAATAAAAGGTAACACTTTTTTTAAATGGTCTATTTATAATAGCATTACAATAATAGCTTGAAATATATAATCCTTATAGTAACCAGTCTGACATGACAAATTCATCAAATTCATTATGTTCTTCTCATATTTTTATTTGTTCTACAAAGCCAGAACAATCTTTTTATAATTATATAACTATTTTTATCTTTTTATCAACTACCTACAGTACAAAGCCCTGAATGGCTTAGCTCTCCAGTATTTGAGGGAACTCCAGGTGTATTACAGGCCCTCACGTCCACTGCGCTCAATTAATTCTGGACAATTGATTATTCCCAGAATATCAAAATCAACTGTTGATGGTAGACCTAAACCCTGGACAGCCTTCCTGGCACAGTTCAGGAAGCAGACACACTCTGTCAGTTTAAAACTAGATTAAAGACATCTCTTTGCATAAGCATACACAAAATACAAATTCTTTTGAAATCCTAATCTTCTAAAGTTAGTCTGCACTATTCAGGGCAACTGGATACAGGAACACTTCCCAAAACACATTATTGTTTGAATGGCATCTGAGCTTATGTTAGTCTGATTTTATTATTCCAGAGGTTTCCATAATCCTGGACCAGGCCGTATCCTGAGCAGCTGCTGTGGTGGTCATGGAGGAGTGGACAGCATGAGACTGATTCCCGTAAGACCCCAGTGACAGACGAGTCTTCGCATTGATCATGAAGGGCCAGCCTGTACACCAGCCGGTGACCTCTCCCACCTGTGGCTTCTCCATGATGGACGTCCAGCGCTCTCCAGCCTCCGGCGCCTAGACTGCAGCTCTACACAAGAGGTTTGGCCAGAGGAAAAATGGTCGCACCCAACTAAACCTGGTTCTCTCAAGGTTTTTTTCCTTCACGGTCGTCAATTAGTGAAGTTTGTTCTTTGCCGATGTCGCCACTGGCTTGCATGGTTTGGGACTTGTGGAGCTGTGTATCTATGGCTTTGCTCTTCAGTGTTTGGACTTTCACCAGTGAAAATTAAACCACACTGAACTGAACTAATCTGAATTTCAACTCTGAAAACTAGACTGACACAGTTTTAATTAACTAGAATCTTCTATGTTAAGCTGCTTTGACACAATCTACATTGTAAAAGTGCTATAGAAATAAAGATGAATTTAACTGAATTACGATACACAATGAAACGATGTTCAAAACCCGTAGCACTCTATCTATTTCTCTCTTCACAACCCGGATATGATGTAATCATAAGCAAATGCATAATTAAAGCATACAACAGCAATATATCCATTACTTTGATTGTAGACAGTGTAATTGCAATAAACAAATAATGGTAACAAAACATAATATTCTGAAATTTGCATAATAAATATGGCTCTAACACTTTTAGTTAATGTTAGTTAATGACAAACAGTTGGTAATACATGCATTATGGTATTTATTCATCTTTGTTAACGTTAGTTCATGTTACCTCTCTCTGCATTGACTAATGTTAACAAGAACAACTTTGGATTTTAATAATGCATAAGTAAATGTTAAACTGTGGCTAATAAAGGCTGCATAAGATAATTTATACTTAGTTAATGTTAGTAAATACATTAACTAACATGAATGAATGAATCATTATTCTAAAGTGTTACCTAAAAACGAATTATGAGTATGTATATTTTATTTTTATACATGTCTGTTATATAAAAACCGGAAAAAATACTCAAATACTCAATTAAATATCCAAACATAATCATACACAAACCTCTGGAAGGGTCCACTGGCATTTAGACCCGTCTTTTGAGTAGTAATACAACTTTCCTTTTTCATCTTTAGACTGGATCCACTGTGATTGGAAAACAAAAATATTTGTCAGTCAGTAAGTGAAACAAACATACCAATGAACATATATTTATGAAGAATACATTTTAGCATGTATATTGATGAAATAGAATGGACTATATTGTTTGTATCTCAGTTCCAAATTAAAATCTTTCCACCATTTGCTAATGCAGTATCATGAATATACCACCAGGGGGCACCAACTCGATCAAAATTTATTTTTAAATGTATGTACATGTTCATGTTGTTTTTGGTCAACTATCCCTTTTAATACTTACTTATAGTGTTAAAACACAGGATTAGGGTATCAGACATCCCAAAAGAATTTCTAAAGGGTTAGTTTACACAAAAATGAAAATGAATAAACAGGCTGTTTTTCTCAACCTAATAGTTTCTGTTTTCTGTTGAGCTCAAAAGCAGACATTTCAAAAAATGTTGATAGACTGCCAGACATTGACCTCCATAGTAGAGGGAAATACTTCTGAAATCAATTGCTGGCTATGGTTTTCAACATTCTTCAAAATATCTCTTTTTTTGTGTTCAACAGAAAAACTGAAATCGAAAATGTTTGTGACAAGTTGAGAATAAATTAATGGTGACAGTTTTTTTTTAATGTATGTATATGCTATTTTTGACGTATACGAGTATTCAACAATAACTTAATAACTTAAAATAAATTAACAGCAAATGTTCATTTTTGGGTCAACTATCCCTATAAGTACTTTACATATAGTGCTAAAAACAGGATTATGGTATCAGACATTCCAAATTACAAACATTTAAATTAACAGGTTGTTTTTCTCAACCTTTGAGTTAGTTTTCTGTTGACCACAAAAGTAGATATTTTGAAAAATGTCAAAGTCAGCTTTGTTGTCAATTCAGCCACATGTACAGGACATATAGAAAATCCAAATTACGTTACTCTCAGCACCTAGGTGCCTAACATATAATATTAATATAAGAAGTAGAGTTTTAAGAAAAAGAAAATTTACTATGTATATAATATATGCTGAAAACGGACAGACGTTGATGTCCATGGTAAAATACTTCTGAAATAAATGGCTGGCTATGGTTTCCAACATTCTTCAAAAAATTTTTTTGTGTTCAACAGACATAATAAAATCTAAAAATGTTTGTGACAAGTTGAGAATAAATAAATAAATGGAGACAGATGTTTCATTTTTGGGTGAACTATTTCATTAAGTGTGTTTAGTAGTGGATGATAATTGTCCTTAATTCATTAGGAGTGTTATGCGCTACTGATTTCTGGTGAACCTTCATTACCTGTTCATGTGTGAGTTCACTTGTGAACACAGATTTCCCATCAGTCCCTACAGACTGAGTCCAGCCCGTGGGGACATCTTTATTTGTGTCCATAACAGCCCTTGGGATGACGGCGCGCTTGATTTGAGGCAATTGGAAATCCTTAGGGAGCTGAAATGAAATATGAGATTCCTCATGTTGATTTTTTGGGTAGTCCTCTTCTGGCAAAGGAGGCTGAGAACACAAAGAATAAATTAGCAAAAAAACTAATTAAAGAGATATAGATTACACAGACAGATAGATGGAACGATGGAAAAACAGAAAAAAAACAATAGAATGACGAATGGATGGATGGATGGACAGACAGACAGACAGACAGACGGACGGACGGACGGACGGATGGATGGATAGCTGGATAGATAGATAGACAGATAGACAGCTAGATAGATAGATAGATAGATAGATAGATAGACAGACAGACAGACAGACAGACAGACAGACAGACAGACAGACAGACAGACAGACAGACAGACAGACAGACAGACAGACAGACAGACAGACAGATAGATAGATAGATAGATAGATAGATAGATAGATAGATAGATAGATAGATAGATAGATAGATAGATAGATAGATAGATAGATAGATAGATAGATAGATAGATAGATAGATAGATAGATAGATAGATAGATAGATACAAACTCTCTCTGCACATCAGCATTTTTACTTTTGTGGATGAGTGGAGGTATGGGTGGATAAAGATGATAGATAACATATGGACTGCTGAAGAAGTATGGGCAGATATTGATAGATATGAAGGAATAAACAGATGGAGATAATTATAGATAAGAATACATATCCTTACTTAAAACAATATTCCGTAATTTTTTTTTTCTCCCAACAGTCAAACTATGTGTACATTTTTTGACTGTGTACTTGTCTATCTGAGTGTACGTGTGTAATGTATGTTTTTCTTTACGTGTTTTTTTATCTTTCATGCATTTGCTGTCTTTGACATACTCATTGTCAACATTGCTAATAGCATATTGTTTTGTTTTTAAGAGTATGTCGTTGTATTTTGCACTGTCTTTAGCCAGCACCTAAGCTTTTCACTCAATGATGTGACAATAAAAGTGATTAATTAATAAAATGCAAATTTAAATACTGAAATAAATTGCTATTTAACATAATGCATTGCAATTTTGCATATTACTTTTCAAAATGAATTATACTACTCATATGCTTCCATAGATTTAATTTGATTTGATTTAATATGGATTATTGGAGATAGATCGATAGATGCATGCATTGAAATGGTAGGATGGATAGATGAAGATGAAAGATGGATACAATAGGCGTATTTGTATGCAGATGGATGGATGGAAAAACAATAGTTAAAAAAAGAAATGATAGATACAACAGACAGACAGATAGACAGATAGACCTAATGGCCCAAAAGATTTCATCAGTGCAGTCTTACCGGCCGCTCTTTGTCCTTGTCCTGACTGTGTGGCCCCTGCTTGGAGGAAGCAGGTGCTGATGGCTCAGGGGCAGTCCAAGAAGTTTCATTGGAGGCATGATTATAATAATAATGTCTCCCAGTGGCCTCATCCAAAAGCTGCTCCCAGTCGGAGCGTGCCGAGGGTGGGCTGGACGCAGGCACGGGGGCCATCACAGACTCCATTCCTGCTCCCGGCTGAGGGCTGCGGGGGTCAGACCAGCTGCTTTGTCCTGTGGCCGGGTGGTAGTAGAACTCCTTACCGCTGTCGTGGTCAGTGTGAACTCGCCATTCGGCCGAGCTGGGCGGAGAGATGGAGTCTGGGGCAGGACTGAGGGTGATGCCAGGAGAGGAGCAGGTGGAGACGGAGGAGTTTGAGGAGCGAGGAATGTTCTTCTTTATGTCTGCAACGTTTGCATACAGTGCTGTGGTGGGATCATTGTCCGTCTGATAGGAGAAAAGAACATTGAGTTTTTAAACAAGGCTACAGGCAACAATAATGATATCGATGATGTTATATACTGTATAAAGAAAAAAAAAAACATTATAACGATATTAAAATAGCCAAGTCTATTGGGGTTAAACGAAAACTAAAATTATAGTTAGATAAATTTAACTAAACTTCAGATAAATGAAAACTGAAACTATAGCTTTCACAAATGTATATAAAAGTATAATGAATTAAAAAATATTTCTATGAATAATTTTGGCAAAATTTCAAGTACCAATTCCTGCTATTATCTACTGGCTTATTACCTGCCTATTATTAAGGTATTGGCTGTTTATTGGTACTTATAAAGTTTGATCTTATTCTACATGCCTAATCCCTAAAACCAAGCTATGCCTTAATACTAACTATTAATTATAGGGCTGCACAATATAGGAAAAAATATAACTTGTTTTTTCAAACACATTCAAACACAATGACTTGCAAATTTGGTCCAACAAACATTCACCCAACAATTGACAATAAAACATACAATATACAAACAATACACACAGAAGTAAAATAGTAATAATGGATACAAAAATAAAATAAGTAATAATAAAATACGGTGGCACCAGGGGTAGCATGATCACCTCACAACAAGAAGGTTGCTGGTTCGCGTCTCGGCTGGGTGAGTTGGCGTGTCTGTATGGAGTTTGCATGTTCTCCCTGCATTCGCGAGGGTTTCCTCTGGGTGCTCCGGTTTCCCCCACAGTCCAAAGACATGTGGTACAGGTGAATTGGGTAAGCTAAATTGTACGTAGTGTATGAGTGTGTGAATGAGTGTGTTTGGGTGTTTTCCAGTGATGGGTTGCAGCTGGAGGGCATCAGCTGCGTACAAAACATATGCTGGATAAGTTGGCGGTTTATTCTGCTAGGGCGACCCCTGATGCATAAAGGGACTAAGCCGAAAATGAATAAATGAATGAATGAATAAAGTAAAAAAAAAAGAATAAATACGAATAAAAACAAAATAGTGACATTCAGTTTTAATCTAAATTAGTCTTAACCTTTTTAATGTAACTATTTCCTTCAGAATTTATGTCTTTAAAATAATCCATGAGAAGTTGCCAGTAGAAATGCTCCGATCAATCGGCTGGAGATCGTTATCGGCTGATAATCACATTTCATGACTTGATCGGTACTTGCTAATCTGGCCGATCTCATGAACCGATCGCAATTGTTTGTTTAGAAGGTTACAAGCAAATAAACTCTTTTACATATCAGAACTGAAAGTTGAGTGTTTTCAACAATATTGCAAGTTCATGAAAAAAATGGCTGGAAATTTTAGGGAAATAAAAAGTTTATTTTTTGCAATATTACTACAATAAACAGTAGTTTATGACTTATTTCCTTTTAGTAAAGAAGTAATGGAACTATAGGTGTGCATTTTAACTAATTATGCAGCAAATACGTGCTCAAAACTTCATTGAGACATGTTGAACTCTTCTTCTATCATTTGCAGAGTTTCCATATTGCTTTGTTAGTCATTTTTCTTACCAATATTTTGTATGTTTTATCTATTATTTTCTGTAAAGCTGCTTCTGATCATGACATGTCCACACCAAATGGTTTAAAGGATTATATGCAACATCTTTAATTTATTCTCTTAGGTAAGGAGAGATCTTTATTTAAGGTTCATACTTAGAGTGGAAATGTGCTTAATGCATTATAAAGCCTGAAGCATTAGAATCGGTACTCAGTATCAGCCGATCACCATGAGAAGGAATCGGTACTCAGTATTTAATTACATCCCTCATTAGATGTATATATGTAGGAGCAGCTTTCTGTTTCCAGTTTAATAATGTTAACCTTCGTGCTAGTAGACTAACAAATTGAATTATATTTTGTTATACTGTTTTTAGCTGGATATCAGTAATACCTAAAACTGTCATAAGGGGAAGTGGATCTATCGGCTTTTGACATATTCTTGAGAATGTTTAAAAATTATTTATCCTGTAAGATGATCATTTTATGAATATTAATTAAAAATAAAAATATTAATAATTTCTTGATTGAGATTAATTGTGATGGTTCTGTAGGGAAGTGCAGCACAAATTACAATAAACTATCTACAAGCATAGATAAATAAATACAATTTAAAATATATACAAATTAGATAAACAGTGCTTTAGTTTTTCCGTGGAGTCTAAGAGTATTCAGGTATAAAGTAATTGAATAACCAAAAGTAAAATAATACTGCATCTTCGTCGTGTGAATAATTCAATAAAATGAATTGTTTGTAAAGTTACAAATAGTACAATTTCTTATGCCTTAATGCTTTTAAAAACCTCATACAGTCACAGACCTCAAAAACACATGCAAATTATAAATTATAATCCAGACCCAACGTTGCATATACTATGAAGTGACTATTGCAAAATATTGATGCTGAAATTATATATTTAGCAGCCCAAACTGATAAGCAGCAAATTAGTAATTAATTAAGCTAAAAGTCTTGGTTAATGGTTTGCTAATAGTGAGAATTGTACCTTAAAATAAAATTGGACCATAATGTTTTACTTTCAACTTGCAATTTATTTTCCTTAGTCCCTTTATTTATCAGAGGGCACCACAGCGGAATGAACCGCCAACTTATTCAGCATGTGTTTTGCACAGCTGATGCCCTTCCAGATGCAACCCAGTACTGGGAAACACACATAAACTCTTACATTCACATACATACACCATGGCCAATTTAGCTTATTCAACTCACCAATACCGCATGTGTCTGGACTCTATGGGAAACCAGAGCATGTGAACTCGAAGAGAACATGTAAACTTAACACAGAAATGCCAACTGACCCAGCCAGGACTCGAACCAGCAAAGTTCTTGCTGCGAGGCGACATAGCTAACCACTGAGCTACCGTGTAGCCTGGTTCAAACCATTATTTTACTTTATTATAAAGAGATTTGCACAACTTTAATGTAACATGTGCAAACATTAACCATTAGTATGCTTTGGTCTACTCTGATAGTGTCCTGTGAAATCTGCTAAACTAATTACTAAAACTAAAAATGAAACTCAGCAGATAAAAGTCAATTAAAATGTTTGCAAAATAAAACCAAACTAAAACTAACAAAATTGTCTATGAAACAAACAAAAACCAAACCAAAAATGATAGCAAATGTTTAAAATGTTTATAGTCCACATTGTAGCTGTAATGATAACAACAGCCATGATTTCACTTACAGTACAATTTATTTTCCAGCACATGAATGATAAACAAAAACACTGGCAATTAAAACCCATCTGACTTGACTTGAGTTTGACCATTTATAGAGGCAAATGACAAAAAAAACACATAATAAAAAATTATATTCTGCAATTTATTGTGCTATACTATGTTATAATATCAATTTTGTTTTCGTTGGCTTGAAAATAAAAATGTTTTCATCCTCTACTGACCTTCAAAATCATAGTCATAGGGAAAAAAAATTGCTCAAATGCAAAGTCATTTACAATTACAAATAAGTCATAAGCATGCATTATAATTATTTCTACCTGAAAATTTACATTCAAATGTCCAAAGATCCAAAGTAATCAAGTCCCAAAATAGTTTGACCAAACATACTTTGGTAGCAAACACTGAACAGCCTTTTTTTCTGGAATATTGTTGTGTACATAAGCACTAAAAACCAAGAAAAGATTTAACTTAATGAATATACAGTATGCTATTAAACCGACCACATTACACGGAACATGGCGCTAATGTGACATCAAGTCAAAGCAAGGAGTGTATCTAAATACTAAAGGTCTCATCCAAGAACTTCCATTAATCATCTGAACAAAGGTGTGTAGTAGCAACCTAAAAAAAAAAACAAAGCGCTTTGGGGAGAAAACCCTGCTGAAACCGCTCCCTCGATTCAGCAGCGACACAAAGACCTTTATGTGGAATCAAATATCTTGCCAGCTTTCATCTTTCGGCCTTCACTCTTCAAGGGAATTTTAATCAAACGGAGCATCTCTACACTTTAGAGGAATGTTTGCCCAAAATATATGGTGTCACGTGTTCCAAACATTAAGAGCAGGCAACATCATGCCTGACATGGGCACAATAAATCACAATTTAAAAAAATGCACACCTACGGAAGCTCTCTGGAAACCACAATGTGAGATCTCAAATATGTCAACAACAGGCCCTTAAAAAAAACCTGTGTTTGTTTAGTACAAGTGAAAGTTACTGTGTATTGCGTGCGTTTATCCAAAATGAGGAAACATCCAGATAATGTGTTTTCCACAGCACTCTCTCAAGGGAAGGGAAGCCAAAATCAAAACACAACAACAGGCAGAGGGTTCTGAGTAGTCTCACAAAATAAATCTGAATCAAACACATCGGCTAAAAGGAACACAACTCAATCAAAGTAATATCAAATATTACATTTACAATGATTTTAAAAACTATAATTGATATCAGGGCTGCACGATAATGGAAAAACCTGACATGGCAATATTTAGTTTTTCTGCCCTAAATATTGCGATATGAATACTATTTGACTTGTTTCATGGTGAGTCTAACAACATTCAGGTACATAAATTTAATAATCACAATGCAAACAATTATTGCTTTGTCTCATTTCTTGTCCAAAAATCTAAAAATTCTTGTAAATCAAGTAAAAATATTGTTTTGATTTTGCCTACAGAAGAAATAAGTCAAAATGAAGAGTTTTTCCTTACAACAAGCTAAATTATCTGCCAATGGGGTAATTAAAATAATCTTATTTCCGCTTTAAAGTGTAGATAATTGAACTAAAAACAAGCGAAAATTCTAAGTTTAAAAAATAAAATTCTTTTTAGCATAAATTGTATGAATAATTAAAAACAATTCACCCCCAAACAAACTTTTTTTTAATGCTCAGTCAAAGGTCTTAAAAAACCATGCAAATGATCAACTTTCACTCTACTATTGGCTGTGACTCTAAAAATCATCATCAAATTGTGATGTGACTATTGCTGAT